GCAACGTTTCGCCAATAGTTCTCTTTTTAAATTAAGTTGTCAGGACGGCAATCACTTCCCCGTGGTCGACAGCAGCAGTATCGACAATAAAAACATTTGTGGGAATACATTTATCTGGCAGATGCGCAGTTTTACTTGGTTGTTGTTGTCACTGATGTGCTTATGTCAGCGCAAAAATAATTGTAAAAAACAATTAAAGAAAAAAGAGCATGAGACACAAAAGCCACAGTGCACAGAGACGGAAACGTAAGATTTGATCGACAATTCTTAGCCTTGCATTTTATACCTGAGCCTTCTAGTAAATTTTGACTAAGTTGTCTTTGACTTTTCTATATACCTTCGAGAGATTGCTATGCGAATATAATAAATATAAATATACAAAAAAATCCAAGATAAACTAACAGTATACATTTGTACAAATTATTGCGCACCTTTTGCAATCTTTTGACTGAAATTATAATAGGTTATGCAAGATCTTTAAAATTAATATCACATATGTATACTTATATGTTTATCATAGTATTAGAGTAGTAACCTTATGGGGCAGGATCCTTAACTGTAGTTTGACTCATTAAGAAATAGCTTAAATAAAATTAAAATTACTTTGATCACTTGAAGGATTGCAAGTATTTCCTAAGAGTTTTTTTAAAACTACCCACTGCAAGGCTAACAAAATCAATATTTTAGGTTTTCCAGTATTAACTTTAGTTATTAAGATAGTACGTCCGGATACTAACAAAACTTGACACTAAGCGGATTAAGTAACAATTTGTTTAAAATGGAATTAACTTTCCAACTGTTTAATTTTTGGGGCTTTACATTGATAAATGTATTACGGTTTTCGACATGAATGTAAGGGATTTCATAATACAGAGCATTTGATTAGAACAATTTTCTGATATCCGTTCAACTGCCACTTAATTTGCCTCCCCAACTCGCTCGTTTCCCAACTTATTTAACAACCATTGTGCTAAATTCACATTACTCCCTTTTTTCCTCTTTCGATGCAAAATCGTTCGATTCCCAGAACTCAATCAAAAAGTTCAATTGTTCGAAATGGGGCTTCACTCATCAGCATTTTGCGAATTCATTTGTGAGCCTTGTTTGGGAAAAGGCAGAGCAGCCCCAGAAGTTACCCAGTTACCCAGTTAAGCGACATTCTGCCGCTTGCCCCATAAATATGAAGAGAAATGCAAACTGTTGTCTGCTTTTTGGCGCCCGGCCTAGCTTTCGTGACGTGTAAGCGGATTGCCAAACTTCCGAGCTGCCAAACTGCAATTTTCCAAGCGAGCAGAGCAGTCCGCCTCCCACCACAGAGCCAATTCCATTCCTTCGTGACGCCAACCGCCCATTATATGCAGCCAGTCCAAGTCAAAGCGGAAATCCTTTTGCCAGTTTGATTTATCGAAGCCTGCTGCAAGGCATTCACTCTTAGAGGGCGCACAACTGGGCCATCATTTGGCTGGCCCCAGGCAATTTGTCAAACTTTGTAGCACTGCCTCAACAAGGATTTAATGAGCTGTGCAAGTCAATGACTTGCTAAGTAGCAATTATGCATTTAGTCCTTTGCCCATAAGTCAGTTTCTGGGTTTTTTCAGTAACCAACGAAGATTCTCTCCCCTGTTATTCAGTTGCCAAAAAGATAGTTCTCACCTTAACACATTTTTATGAGAAAAATTGATTAGGTATGTATGTATGTATGTAGCTTGCCGCTTATTCTGAAAGAAAAAAATTAGTTTAATAAAATGTTTACCATTCACTTTTATTGGTTTTATCATTATTACACTGGCTTACAAATTTAAATTAATGAAATCCTCCAGAGATCAAATCTTGATTTTCCGTTACAGATCGACTTATTGCTCATACCAAATGTTTTTCAATAAAATTTTTTGAAATCCTTTGGTTCATAAAACAAGAAATGACACCACTATTAACATAAGCTATCACCAATTGTTCCAAAAAATTATGACCTCTCCCTTCTTAGATTTTTAAGAACAGTATTGAAATTTTGCTCTTAAGCTGATTTAATAAGTTAACACAAAAAAAATGTATTTTGCACAAATTCAATTTTTTCTGACTTTAAGTAATTGCTAGCCTTGCTTATATTTATCCCGTTCACTTTGGGGATCCATACAATATTGTTTTGTTAACTTTAAAGTACTGTGTCATTAAAACATCTTGTTGTTTGCTTATATACTTCTTAATTCCTCAGTACCAAAGAGTTTAAAAATATTTTAGTTACTGTGCTTCGGTTGCTGGAACAAAAAGTTCGTTTATAAACCTATGAAACATCCTTCTTGCCCACGTAAAACCAAATGCAAAACAAAAAGCGAAGTGATGTAAAGACATGCAAACAGCGCTTAACATGCTGGTTTTTCTATGACCCGAAACAGCTATAAAAATGTTACCTTTTTTTCGCAAAATCCCGGGCAGTCGAGACGTGGCCAAAAACATTTCTGTTTATGTGGGAAGGTGGGAGCAACCTGCAAAGTAGCAAAAAAGCTGCCCAGACACATTTTTTTAAGTACTCCACTTGCTATTACCTTACATTTATATGGGTATAGTACCTTTCCAACACGATTAAAACATGGAAAATCGTATTGGAAACAATCGAGATGTACAGCCGCTACGGAAGCCCAAGTACTAATTCTAAGCATAAACGTTTTTTCTCTTCTGATTGTTATACATTTTATAAATGCATAAATGCTTATTTCTCCCAAATTAGATCATAATAATATGTTTATGTTTTACTCTAGTAAAATGGTTTCTAAAACATTCAAGAGTAGTACATTTTTTATTTTATTCCTCTATTTTTAATTTTCCGATTGCTCTAAACCGTTAAACCGATCCGGCTAGATCGACTCGCCTTTAAATGTTGTTCAAGAATATATATGCTATATAGGGTCGGAAATGTGCCATTTACTGCGTTGCTAACTTTTTAATATTTTTTAATACCCTCTGCAAAGTCTTACAAATGTAACAGTATCAGAGTAATTTACTTTTAAATACGCCGAAACTGTTATTTATTAATTTTTGTTAGGTAAGATACACCTTAAGACTTACACTTAGACGTTCATACCTCTATGGCATCCGTTAAAAAAGTTTACCAGCTTTTCGGGGGGATTTCACTGGTGGAATAAATAGAGCAGTCATGAAGCGGCTTGAAATTCCTGTCTTCAGACTGATTTCCATTGTTGCTGCTCTCTAGATGTTTGCGGTTTTCACGGTTTACTGTCCGAGGTGTTCTTCAAGCCGAGCACGTTTGCCACCCAGGAAGCGACCGAGTTGCTCGGTTAGTTTGAGTTGGGGCTTTTGTCAGGGAGCTCGGAAAGTGCAGGCGCAGTTAAGGGCCACAGGCACATTTCCAGCAAGGGTGGTGTTGGCTTAAATATTGCCCAAGAAACGACTAAGAGGCTTAACTTAAAATTCCACAACCCCACAATTTGCTTGGACAAGTTGTATGAGGAACATTTGGGACGTTTCCCCAGGATAATTATGGACATGCACGAACGCGGTTCTATGCACAAAAGGCGCATAGACCATATTTGCACGAAAGGCTTCAAAAAGTGCACTCAGGGACTCCTCCATTCGTCTTTTTCAGCTCCTACACCCAACCAACTAGCGTGACATCGTCGGGAGAGATGTCAACGCGGCCTGCAATAAAGTTGTCCATTTTACCGACGCTGCACATTTACCATATTACCATACCCTGCCCCATCCATGTTGCCAGTGTATCAGCAAGCCCCTTTTTGCTACCATGCAGGCAGCGAGTTTATTGAAATTTTATGCATTTCCTGCATTATATGAGGTCGCTTTTGTTGTAGACCTAGATCAAGTTGCTCCGATGCCACCAAAAAAGTTTAATTTACGATACTGTCTCCAAGTTTCTCGCATGACAGCTGCCCTGGATTCGCCCTTCATCTCGCTTGATTTCACATCTTGTATTCGGCAAGTTAGGCAATATTTCTGAGGCTTTCCGGTAGCCAAAGCCACATGTTTGCCCCCATCATTAAGAAGACGTGTGATAAATGTGGTTAAATGTGGCTTAAGCGCTCCAGCACTCAAGTACTGGTTTTCAATTCATGTTTCTAGTTTATAACTGAGCTACACAATTTCCGCAAGCGCTTATCTATAAATGACATTGTATAAGACAACAGTTTCAACATAAACTAATTTTCTGTCCGAGCTAAATTTTTTTTTAAAGATGGTGATTTTTTTAATTTCGTTTAATTTTATTTTAAATTGGGCGCTCACATCTTATTAATTAACTTTTTCATTCTTTTCATTTACACACTAGCACAATAATCTTTAAACCCTGTTACTTTTATAAGACTTCAAAATTTTTTTTGTTGTTGCTGTGAACCCAAAAAGCAAAAAAAAAGTTCCATTAAAACCTGACCTTTTAGTTTTATGTGGCCAACTTGGCAGATTTTCGCTAAGATTTAATATAAAATGTATTTTGGGGACGGATGCAGAAAAAAAAAAACAAAATTCTTTAATTAGACTTCCCTAATAACTCTTTAAATCTTGTGGCGTAAGACACAGACAAACTATTTGTTCTTTAAAATCGCGCGATGGTTGCTTTTTATAATAAAAATTTAATATTTGTTCGCTTCGGGCGTTACATTATGATATGAATTTAATATTTATTCGCTTCGGGCGTTACTGAGTCATAAGACAAGAAAGTGACATAAAAGCCTGCGGTAGCTATAAACGCCCACGGGCGTTAAGTTATGTCGCTAGGAAATCAAGCTAATAAAAAGTTCGTAAAATTAAATATTTTTTATTTATGTCCTAGATTTTTGCAATGGGAGCTATGTTGTATAAAATAAAAAATAAAGCTTTGTCTTTTGTTTTCAACAGTTAAAAAATGTTTCTTATGTATTAAAACAACTTAACAAGGTGATCCTGATTCATAACACACAATATTCTTTTACTCAACAAGTTTCGTGTACAACTAAGTTATGTTCAATCCATGATTTCATTAGTACACAATTAGATTGCATTGCTCCAATTTATTAACACCATCAGTTTTTTCTGTTTGACAATTTAATTAGAATTTAGAATTCCAGGAAAAGGTCTGTTGTTTAATGAAGAGAACGCGAATTGCGGCGTCTCTTTGAAGATGAAAGCTTGTTAATTTGAATAATTTGGTATTATATATTGGTAAGCATTCGATAATATCAGCGGCTTGGAATAATGGCTTCAGTTTATAAGCTATTAGCTTCCAAATATGTAATTTGCAAGAGTTGAAAGTCGTGTCCTTTCCTTTCTGGTATGGTATTTTAGATCGACGTATGTGGAGGCATCTGGTTTTATTATCTACTTCTTTTCTTTATCCTTTTTGGGACCACTTCCCGGAGGACAGGAAGACAAGTAGCCTCCACTCATCATGCGGTCGAAAGCATCAAGCGGATCGTATTTGGAGTAGAAGTTCCTGTACTTCCTTTTGCGTGCATTATTTCTGAAAGTGTAGAGAAGAAGTGGGGCTGCCAAGGCAAGAGTGCAAGCCACTTTCAAGTTGCCAAGCGTTTGCTTGAAGTGTACATTATGCATGGGAAACTTGATTTCGGGGGGCTGTATTTTTGCAATCAAATAAAAAAAGGTTATAAATTAAACAATTTTCTGATAATTCACAACGTTTTTCTTACCTTTTGTGCCGGCATTATTGTAACTCTCTGCTCTCAATTTGAAGACAAATGAAAATAAACCGTACTTCAACACAATTCGATGTTGACTACGAATGATAAGCCTACTGTTTTTTTGTGCAAAACGAAAATTCAAATTTTTTCGTTTTAATTCCTTGAGATACTACTACGGCTTTGATTTAATTTAATTTAATTTAATTTGATTTAGCTTAATAAAGCGACCATATATAGTTTCGTTCGCATTTTGCACTCAGCGGTATGTTTAATTCATCGCTCTTTTATGTTAACACATTTTTGCCGTCTTCATCTTTTTTTTTTTGCACAGCCAAATGAAAAAAGCTAGTACATATTACTTGCCGCCAACGGGTTTGTGATTGTGGCTATTTGTTTCCTCGTGGAGTCAATTGATACATTGTATTCGTTGAAAATTAAGTAACGGGTAGAAGGAAGGGTATCCGACTTTATAAAGCATATATATTCTTCATTATAACGTTAAGAACGTTGAGAACTCGAAAACTATAAAGCTAGATTTTTGGGACTTAAATGTAGATTCTCATTATGCCCACGCAGCCCAAGTTTATTTCAAAATGGAATTACGCCCACTCTAACGCCCACAAGTCATGAAAGTCTGTCTCTGCACTTTAGGATCTGATATCATGAAAAGGTTTCAAGGACCTGTATTAATGTAGTCTTGATTAATGACAGACTCTGGGTTAAGCAATGGATGTTAGAAGTTAGTTAGGATTAATTACCTAAAAAGTAATAAAATTAACTAAAATGTCTTATAATTAAGGAAAAATTACCTATGGGGGAGTAGGGTTTTTAATATTTTTAAAAAATCTTTTTTTGTCTTAAAGCAATCTCTAATATGTTAAGAAGTTGTGTCCAAATTTTAAATCGATCGCAGAATTGAAGAATTAGCTACCTTACATCTGTTGACTCGTGCTCAAAACTTGAAAGCAATTTTTCCCACAAATCACGTTTTTAGCAACAGGGCTGCCAATTTTATAGCTCCCATAGGAACAATCGGAAAAAAAATGAATCAAAATTGCTGTTTTAGTTCTTCGACATATAATAACGGTTAAAAATAAAATAAAAAAAGAAAATTTAATAAATTAAATTTTTTTTTAATCTATTTGATTTATTAATAATTTGACAGTTCAGAATTACGGTTTTAATTTGATTTCAATAGGAAAAATATATCATAATACTGTAATAGGAACTATCGAATAATTGAGCTGCAGTTCATTATAGGTTCAATGTTTTTAAAAATTCGTGACGATTGCACAATTTTTGCGACCTGTAGGACTTCCACCAACTCGAAAAAGATGGTTTCGAGAAAGACGCATTTGAAATAATTGCAAAAGTCTATGTCCCACGCTGACCCGCGCGCTTGACACCTATCCACCAAAGAGTCGATAACTTTCGTAATTTAAGAGATTTAGACTTAAAATTTCAGGAGAGTAAAATTGAAACATTTATCTAATTGCACAAAAAAAAGATTTTTATGACTGCATAGCAAAACAAACTTCACACGTATATGCGCTTTACACATACTTGTGCCACTGAGTTCTATTCTTAGAAATTCCTGAAGATGGCTTCTGGAATTCAAACTCCAGTTAAGAATCATGTTAACAAAGATGGAGCAAAACTTACAGGCGCATTATGCACACAAAATGCAAGTGGTTAGTGGCGTAGGGCGTAAGTTGGATAGGTTTGGCGAGAATGGCTCGAGTTCGAATGAACGCATTATTTCAATCTGTATCTATATCTTTTTTACTTTTCTAGATGATATTTTTAACTTTGTATATATGTATATGTACATAGGTGCTCGGGGCTTGCCAAACTGACTTCTAAGTAAATAATGCATGCTATTTATGAATAGAAGAATTGCATACCAAGACTTTAAGAAAATTTATTGGCTGAGGAGAAACGGCAGAAAGTGACATGGTAAAAATTTTTTTAAGTGAAGCTCCTAAGTTTGGGTTGGTTAAATATTACACTTTTTTAACACACTTTATATTTTATTAAAAATACGCGTCGAATGACACCAAACTTGGATCCGATGCTCCGATCAGAAGTTATTGAAAACATGCTATTTTTGGCATATTTAAAAAATACAAAAGTTTTCAACATCGTTTCTCAATTTCAACAAACTTGTTTTATAATTTTGGAATAATTATTTTTGTATTGGTCAGGTCGTTACAAAAAATGTTTGTTTTACGACTTTTTGAAAAACCTATGTCATTGCTCAAATATAAAAATTTCATTTCGCCTTGACATGCTGAAGTCAAATATTTTGGACTTTAATTTATGAAGTTTTCCAATAGTACTTATAAGACTCCTTGATTATTATATATAAAAAATTTGCATGCTCAGAACAATCAATACCTCAGTGAACTTTGTCATCCATCCCGTCTTTTCAGAGAGAAAGGCCACTGAACCCTGACACCATCAACTTTTGACATGGTCATGTCATTATTATCTATTAGTTATGGCCCAAGGGGATGAAAGGCCACGCCTTTGTCCTCGGCTGAAGAACCGCCGCTTTCCGTGCTTCTCATGGCTAATTGTAAGTTATTGACACGAAACGTGCCCTAGGCCAATAATGATGATGATAGGGTTTCACTCAACGCCCACCTGTAATCGAGGGACGGCGTTCGTTTGCAGTAATTATAACTTCCGTCGCGTCATGAATGAGACCGCCACTTCTGTACTGTTGATAAAACATTGAAATAATTGAATTATAAATGGGATACAAAGGTAAATATTGGTTACGGCAAAAGCTCCCTTAAATCCATATTTTAAATTTGTTAGTTTTTTACTCACTTATTGTGGACTACTATTTTAAAACAAGAAAAAACGCTTAGTGCCAAGCAATTAGATATCCATAAGCACATCTCAAAAAACTCGAAATAAATATTCCCTTAGAAAACAGTTTGGCTTTAGGTGGCGCAATCTCTCGAACTCCATGGTCAACAATACAAGATAAGAATTGTCGTAAAAAAAGAGTATTTTTCGAGTATTTAGATACGCGTTACTCAGATGACACATAATAATTTAAACAAAATATTCCTTACAAAACAATCGGAGTTTAGGCGGCGCCATCTGTCAAACTGCATATCCAACTTTAGAAGATAAAAGCATGCAGCACCACCACCCCCCGCTAACATCTCTATCGCTCGGTCTCCCTACATCAGGGATCACCGGCAGAGCAGCGGCCGAGCAACAGCAGAGCGGCGGCAGAGTACTTAGTAACTCTTTCACTTCTAAAATAATAACACGAATTTGAAAATCCAATAGCTAGAGTCTAACATGTCTCAGAGTGACGTAAACAGACTTCTAGAACCTGCTTTTTATACCCTTGCAGAGGGTATTATAATTTCAGTCAGAAGTTTGCAACGCAGTGAAGGAGACATCTCCGACCCTATAAAGTATATATATTCTTGATCAGCATCACTAGCAGAGTCGATCTAGCCATGTCCGTCTGTCCGTCCGTCTGTACGTCTGTCCATCCGTTTCTCAGTTTTAAAGCCATCTGCATGAAACTTTCCCAAAAGTTGTCTTTCTATTGCAGGTAGTATATAAGTCGGATCGAGCCGGATCGGACTATAGCATATTGCTCCCATAGGATCAATCGGAAAAAAACATAAAAAAAAAATAACTTTGCTGCTTTTGAATTTTTTTTTAGTTTTTTGGCATATAGTATTGGTTAAATATTCCAGACTTACGGTTTAAATTTTATCAAAATTGGACGACTATATCATATAGCTCCCATAGAAATAAAAAAAATATATAAAATAACTATCTAATAATTGAGCTACAAATCATCATAGCTTCAATGTTTTTTTAAAATATACACAAGTAAATCATTAGTTTATTGTTAATTCTTCAATAGCTGCAAGGGTATAAGAACTTCGGCCTGCCGAAGTTTGCTTTTTTTCTTGTTTAGTGATCATATATTCATTGTGTCATTGTTTTTTTTCAATAACATTTTAACTAAATTACCTCTGACATACATCCCAGGCGCTGAAAAACACATTCATGTAGAGTACATCTTAGTGTGTTGAAGAACTCAGTGAACTATTATTTATATAATAAAAGAGTTCAACCAAAAGTCAGACCTTTATGTATACGCTTCAGAAAATATTGGAATGGGAAAATTTGGTAAAACTTAAAGAATTAAAGGACCCAAAAATGTTTTAAGGACGGAAACACAACAACTTTTTTGGTAAAAATACGTTAGGTAAGTTTTAATTACACTCTTTGCTTTGATAATTTCGAAAGAAGATGAAGTGAGTAAGAAGTTATTGTTCAGTAAATAAGTTGCTGTAAAAATAATTAAGTTTTTCATTTTATATACTTCTTTGAGTTTTAAAAGTCATTTAATGACAGTTTTCGAATTGCATAATGACAATTGTTTGCACATACAAAAGCCAAACTTTAACCAGTTGCAATTGTATTGACACTCTCTCAAGCGAGCCGTCCAATGAATAATGGCGGTCCAGAAGCCACACAAAAGTCGTAAAGGCCAAAAGCCGGACAGCACTTTGTGCTTAAAGTGCGTGAGCGAATCAAACATGTCCTTAAAGAGCGAGTTCGTGGCAATGGTCTTGGTAAGGGATATCAAGGGAGGCCTCAATACCCACATGCATCGGCAACGTCAGTTATACAATTGATTTGATGCCAGTTCATCGCTTCAGTCACAATGTTTCCCAGGACTAGTCGACAAAGTTGCTGCCTGAATAGCAGGCCCGCCGGATAGATATTGACCCCCAAACCCAATTTGGACCGTGCTTTTGCTTTGCATACTTTGTGCCGCATTGCCAACGCAATTTGTTCCAATGTCGTGTGTCACGTTTGCTTTCACTCTGCCCGAGCTCCTTGGCTTTTGTTCGGCATTTTGCTGTTTGCGCTTGTGACATTCCTGCTCCAGCTGTTGCTGTTTCTCATTCTACATAGATTCAGCTTCTTTCTACCTTTCTGCATTTTATACGTTCATTGGCTTTGATGTTTTTGCTGGGCAGACTAATGAACCCTTTGGCAAACTGCGATGCCGGCAAAGGCCCATAAAGCTGAAGCGAACACAGCCAT